TAGTGTTTTCTTCTTTGTTCTCTAATACATGCCAGTATAGAATATTTCTCGGATTTTATTTGTAAATCATTTCTAACTCATTGTTTTATTTTTCTTCTCTACAATGTTTCCTATTCCTAAAACGTATAAAAGAAATAATTAATATCTTAGTTTAATCGTAATTATTCATCAAGATGAACAATTTCAAAGAATAATAAAATTATGACTTCAGTTGATTTTGTTAAATGTGATATTATTCTGTATAATTCTAATTCTTTTGTTTATGTATTCATTTCTCATAGATTTGATGTGTTTCGATAGTATTTTTAGTGTTGAATAGTATTTGACGAAGATTCACCATGAGGATAAACAACTACATTTTTATCATTAATCTACAGTGTCAAATAAGAATAAAATCAATTGTACAATACATTTCTGACAGCATATAATGTCGATATACTTTCTCTTTCAACTCAATACAAAATTAAAAAAAAAACATTTTTTTTATCAAAAAAGTTTTATTTTATTCCTTAGGAAGCATTGTACTTTCTCCATAAAAGCATGATTTTCAATATAGTATTAATAAAAATAATATTTAGTTTTGTCTGAAGCACTTTATTTTCACATCCTTCCTACAAAATTTCAATATCATGAACATTTTTTATATTTACAACAAATAATGCCTTCTGACATTTCATATCAGTTTTGAAAAAGGAAACGGATTCATTGTTTTCATTTACTGATATAATTTAAAATGTTGTATTTGTTGCAAATATTTCAAAAAAAAATAAACTTCAGGTTTTTGTAATATTCAGTTTTCAGCAATACATTGAAGAATTTTTTTATCATTCAAGTAAATTATTGGAGAATGTAATTAAAAAGAAACAACTTGTTTTTACTTCATTTCAATTGAAGGCAAATATCAATAACAAATGAGAAGATGATTTTCTCAATCATACTAATCATTAGAAATCAAATGAAGTTCTTCTCATTTTTATTTGTTTCATATTTTTGTAATTATATTTAATAGAATCATTAACTATATTCGACATTATTTAAATTATTAAGTATCAAGAAATAGATTCTCAAATGATATCTTTCATTTTATATTTATGTATTTGTTTCATTTAAAATAAAGATAACAAATGAGCGGATGATTCTGATGCTTACTGTATTTTGTTTCAGATGAGTTTTGAATAAAATGTTATCAATGGTGAATATCGAAATCTACGCGGTGGCATACGAAAGTAAATTGATTCAGTAGAAAGAAAAACATTGAAAATCAGCACTTTTTGAAGGAAATGCGATATTTCCTCAGAGAAAGGAATGTATTAGAAAAAAATATTTTATTATTTTTCATTCATTTGAATGTCTATATAGTCAAGCTGTAACTATGTTGTTAGATATCAAGTCATTGGTGAAAAGATATTGCGTCGATAAAATAATTCAGTATTGATATAACTGCTGTTTCCTTTATGTTCACTTTCTCCACATAAATATTCAATCATAAATTGAGAAACAAATCTGAAATTTTGTTTCTCCAATAAGAAAAATGATTAAAAGAGCTTAAATAGCTCTTCGTTGTATGGAGAGTATTGAGAGACATATATAATATCCACAATCATCAACAATCACATCTAAATGTAATTATTCAAAAAATCGACATATTTCACATCGCTATAATTGTAATTAAAATCATGGTTATAGTTCTCTCTATTGACTAGTCATATCTAGTAGACTATAATTAAGTGAAGATTGAGTACTAATCGTTTTTCTTTTCTTTAATATTCTATTTCGACTTCCAATTAAGTCATTTATCTATTCTATGAAATAATTATTTCATACAATAAAATCATATTAGAACCCATTTCTAACTATAAATATTGTCTAATTCTCAATTCATTAAGAAGACTTTTTGTGTATCGTAGATTATTTTAACGTCAGTTTTTTCTTTGTTAGAAAACATTGCATATCCTTTGAACAGTGCTGATTTTCAATGTTTTATTAACTAATAATTAGACTAAATGTTGTCTGAAACAGTTTCATATCAACAAAAGTTTTATTTTGAAAACTAGCATTGAAAAAGGAAGGAAGCTCATTATTTTTATTGATATACGATGTTTTACATTAATACGATGATCTACGTCAAAAAAAGGAACTGATTATTTAAAAAAAAGAAAGAGAAAAACATGATAAATATTTTTTCTATTATTTTAATAATTTTCTCGTTGAAATTGGAATGAAAAACTTCTAAGTGAGAAAAACAATATCCAAGTCTATTTTTTATGTCACCAGATTACTCAGTAAAGAATATCAGATTATTAATGACTGAAAATCTATAAATGGAAGAAAATTTTTTTTGTTGATTTCAGATTGTAAAAGTATTGAACTTTCAACAAGGTATCAACAATGATCAACAATAACAGAATCGGAGTTGATAATAATGTAATTTATTGAGAAAAAAAAAATCATAAAATATAATATTTGTCGTTTTTTTGATTATTTTAGTCTGAAACAGTTACTTCGAATGCAGCGCAACCAAACACATTGTATGTATATTGTAAATGTCAGACAATGATAAAAAAGATCGATTATTGTAGATGTGAATATTTGAAAAGAAGAAAAGTGATGTGCATCATATTTATTATTATTGTACTTGTTATAATTATAACAATTCCAATTGTTATTCTCACAACAAAAAAGACCAACAGTGAAAAACCATCAATAACAGAAGAAATAACAACTGAAATAACAACAGGTAGTTAAAATAACCGAAGTAGAACTTCATTGTTTATCATAACTAGGGATGTACCGAGCCCAAGAGGCCCCGGGCTGGATCAGGATCCGGGCTCGGTCATGCTCAGGGCTCGGTCAGGCTCGGGGCTGGATCAGGATCGGGGCTCCGGCTCAGGTGTCAGAATTGATGTGAGATTGCGTGGGTGTGGGTGAGAGTGTAAGTGAGAATGTGGGTGAAAATAGTGAGCGAGAGTAAAAAGGATGGTACCCGCACTCACCACACCTACCCACTGCCACATCAATTCGGACACCCGAGCCTGACTGAATCTCGAGCCCCGAGCCCGAGAGGCTCAATCAGGGCTCGGGCTCGGTACATCCCTAATTATAACAACTTATACATATTACATCTAAGCAACAATATCGCAAGTTGCTCTGAGATCCATAATGGACTTTATAGCATGTAGAAGAATATTTATTAAGAATGAGTCTCTGAGAAAATCAGATATCAGTGATAATTCGACATGTCAAATTTCGCTTAATATTTTCTGTATGTTATAGATTATTAGTAACGTTAGTATTAGCTAAAATTTTCAATTCGATTGAATCCTATTTTCCTATACAAACAAACACAACAGAAGCGGAATTTTCTATATTTATCAATATCATTTTTTTCGATTTTCCCGCGATTTTGACCGAATATCCTTTAATAAAGGTAACTTGTATATATGAATCCCTTCAAGAGCTTTGATCAATCTATAAGAACCTCTGAAATATCATTATCAAAATAGATCCTAGTAAAATGCTGAGTTCTCGCATTTTATGCGGTAATAAACAATCACTCTAATATTTCTGCTGGTGACAAAGGAAATCAAGGCCCACATCACCTAGGATATTCATGGAATGATAAATTCTGATTTCCAGAAAATTCAAATAAAGTGACTATATAAGAAATTTCCTATAAATTTAATCGAATACTTTTAGCGATAATCATATAAAACTATTCTAATTCAAAAAATGATAGAAATAATATTGAAGTCTAAGCTCGGACTGGGTGGGGCTGCATCAAGTGAAGTAAGAAATGTATATCAAATATCTAGAGGATGTGAGTGTCTGAAGAGAAGACAGCCACCCGGACTCACACCCTTAAAGAAAAAGAAATAAATTAACAGGCAAACATTATCCAGTTGTTTAGTCTCAATCTAAAATCATTTTTCTAAAATAGAACTAACTACGGCATCAACATCAACAACAACAACATCATCAACATCCACAACAGCAGTATCGAGTGAGTACTATGTTAAATCATTTGTATTGAGTCAAAGAATGATAATTAGAAATAACGATATTTAAAAGTCTTGATTTTAACTATTGAATGATCACCATCTAAATTGATAACGTTAAGGAATATTTCCTATCAGAAGTCTGAATACGACCAATCTTTGATGCTTTGATTCGATCTACATTCGTTTAAGTATTGACTGTTCTTGTTCCGTCCAACGGTATCAGATGAAAATATTGTTGGGAGAAAAGGTTTTCATGTGATAGAACTCATTGGTCATTTTAGTAATCAATCACACCTACCCACTCTCAAGACGATCGGAGAATAATTGTACACGTTGAGGTATTAGTTGACATAATCTTGCCATGAGACATGTCTATCAACACCTAATCTCATATTTTAGATCGGACTGGTATAGAGTTGAGCAATTCAAACAAATATCGTAGAAGTATAACATATAAACTACAAACTCGAGAAAAATGCCTTTCATTATCACCACCAACTAACCCTTATTGTACTAATTTTCTCATGAGAACGGTGCGACAATTATTATCTTTTACTCACAGTCACAACTTCATTGACATTCATTCTTACTTACATCTTGACACATGCAAACATAATCCATCCAATATGGTGAAAGTACATCTTGTTTTCATTACGTTGAGCAATGTAATATGAAGGTCACTAAAATCCTGAAATTCGATCATTATGCATCATAACTGAACTGTAGGACAGTGATTGAGTTTTGTTAGTTCGCGACATCGATAGAATTCGAAAAACAGCAATGAAATCGTTTGGAACATATTTTTCATTAGTTAATTTAATATTTCATAATGAATCTCGTCTTAACTATAAAAATAAAGAGAATTTTATCGAAGCTTTGAAATCATTTAATCTGTTATCAATAGCTAAACAATTTATGCACATGAGAGCTTCGAAGTCATTTTTGCAGCAAAATTTTTTTCTTACTTTTCTACCTTATTTAGAATGGACAATCACAGAAAGCATGAGTGTCGAACGACGATATCATAGAGCATCCACATTAGCAAATGAATTAGTATTAGTTGTTGGTGGATATAACAGAGGTGGTTATCTCAATAGTGCTGAATTGTACAATCTATCAACAGGCACTTGGATAACCACAGGAAACATAAATGTCGCACGACAATATCACGCAGCATCCACATTAGCAAATGGATTAGTATTAGTTGTTGGTGGATACAACAGCACTAGCACTCTCAATAGTGCTGAATTGTACAATCCATCAACAGGCAATTGGACAATCACAGGAAACATGAATGCTGTACGAAGATATCACACAATATCCACATTAGCAAATGGATTAGTATTAGTTACTGGTGGATCCAACGGCACCAGTACTCTCAATAGTGCTCTCAATAGTGCTGAATTGTACAATCCATCAGCAGGTACCTGGGAAATCACAAGAAATATGAGCGTCGAACGACGATATCATACAGCATCCACATTAGCAAATGGATTCGTACTAGTTGCTGGTGGATCCAACGGCACTAGTGCTCTCAATAGTGCTGAATTGTACAATCCATCAACAGGCACTTGGATAACCACAGGAAACATGAATGTCGCACGACAATATCACGCAGCATCCACATTAGCAAATGGATTAGTATTAGTTACTGGTGGTGATGGATTGAATGGTCGTCTTAGTTTCAATAGCACTGAATTGTACAATATATCAACAGGTACTTGGATAACTACAGGAAGGATGAATGCCGCACGACATTATCACACAGCGTCCACATTAGCAAATGGATTAGTATTAGTTGTTGGTGGAACGAGCGGTGGTCGTCAGCTCAATAGTGCTGAATTGTACAATCCATCAACAGGCAACTGGACACCTACAGGAAACATGAGTATCGCACGGCAAGATCACACAGTATCTACATTAGCAAATGGGAAAATATTAGTTGCTGGTGGACAGAGCAATACTCCTATCAATAGTGCTGAGCTTTATCATTCGATGTAGATAGAATGATATTTTCTTTTGTGAACTGAACTATAATTTTTTTTATATATAATCAAGCTATTTAATCATTCACATTGCTTAATAAATCATCATTCACCAAATAACATATGAGTTGCAGTAATATCTCGAAGTTATATTGTATGGCGGTCGTCGAAAAAAGAGCGATGGTTGATAAAAGACAGATCATTACTTGTACAACTGAGCGTATCGAAATACAGATGTAAAGAATATTAACCATTATTTGTTACCAACCACATGTATTCTGAAGAGAGCAAGTTCATATGTAATAGCAACGTATGAATAATGGTTCTCAAATTCTCTTTCTCGTAGAGAAAAGTCCAGTAAACATGAATTGTCTGATTGATTGATTGATTGATTGTATGTCGGCACTGCACTAATTGGTTCAAAACTTAGTAAGAGATATAAAACAAATTTTTTATAAGGATTGACCGAAGGGTAATCAGGGTCGAGGAACTCGAATCTGGTGTCAGTTTTTAAAAAAATTTTAAAGACCGTCTTTTTGAGGGTGGGTGGGTATGAAAGAGTGCACGGATGTGGGTAGGTGTGGCTATAGGTGCTGTGTGAATATAGTATCCATACCCACCTTCACACCCCAACTACCCACACCCTTTCTAGTTAACTTAGACATTTATACATTGTTAGTTTAGTATTTTTTATAAAAATCGAGGATTTCTATTCATAAATTAATCTTCTTTTTCATTTATAACATATCATTTGATAAGAAGGTTTTACATTGATATCAATTTAGTTAAAACTTTGGAAGATATTGACAATTATACTTAGAAACTGATCATAAAAACTCTCTAATACCACGAAATAACATTGATTAACACATATAAAATAATTTTATTTAACTATTTTTACAGTTTATATTAATCAAAAAAATTACGAATAAAAGGCGATTTCAATTCTGAAGTTTATTATCAGATAGTAGTTGCAGAATATTTATATTCATTATCAATTATTCTACGGTTGAGGATGAAATATGAATGTAAGCGTAAGGAAGGAAAAGACAAGTAGTTTTATTCATAATTATACTTTCATTTTTTTCCAAAGAAACGTTCACCAATACTAGTTTTTTCTTCAATTCAATAAAATGTACTTGAAAATATTTTTTAATAGTCATACATAAGCTATACAATTTTCTTTTTATTTAAATTTTAAAAAGCGAAGCATAAATCTACAGCACACTACTTTCCACCATCCAATTAAAAATTAAATATATATGAACTTATTCTAATAAAACTATAATTCGTCCGAACATTCTATGCATATGGGATATTTTTTAAGATTATTTTCATGTTCATCAATAAAAAGCTACGATAATAATTAAGTCTGATCAGTTTCTATTTGTGGATCAATTCTTCTGCTGCATTTTTTCAGAATATATAAACTAAATTTGACTAATCTTGGCACTATAATCTTCAAAGCAGTTGTTAAACCACCAGCGAGACCAAACAATGCTGTTAGTATATAAACTACACCATGTCTTGTTTCATAGATATAACTACATTCTATTGGTTCACATTCATTGTAATAGTTTTTATATTTCGTAGAAAAATTCCAATTTTCAATCATTAATTTCTTAAGAAGTTCTTCGATTGTTGAATTAACAGAATATTTACTTGATAATAATGGATTAAGAGCTGTTATGTTCATTGATGAAGACGGTAAGAATGATTGAGTTGTATTTATACATGATTGATTAAAAAAACATTGAAGAGAAGACTGAAGAAGTGCTTCGATGATATAACATCCACGATAGAAGTTGGGCACAGACAATACTGGTATTGTAGAAGGATAGTTATAAATTCCATATTCCCAGGTACATGTCGCAGGAAAATCACATGAACAATTGGAGTAGACATAGGATGTTAAAGATATCGAGTCACCACTGTGTTCTGTACGACGGAAATAGTAATTTCTTGATAATGCGGAGTATAGACCATTCATTCGGATTGTATTTCTTATCATATCAAGTGAAATATGAAATTTGCTTGTTATTGATGATCTGAACTGATTAACAAATATTTCCACTTGTGATTTAAATAAGTTCTCATGTATGACAGTTGTACTAACATATTGATTTAAATAGAACTGTTTTAAACTCTCATCAAGTGTTTGATTAACCAACTTACAAAATTCATCCAATGCTTGAAAAGCAAATTTACCTATCAATCGAAAGTCGTAGTGATGTATTCTTTGATCATCCTTATAAGAATGAGCGAGATAATTAATCCAATATTGAGTGACGAATATACTATTGCAGACTTGATGTAATGTATAATCGATATGAAGAATTTCTTTATAATCAATTAATATGTTTTTGCATGGACATGTGATTGTTGCTGAATATGGTTTATAGAGTTCTTCATATTTTTCGAAAGTCGGTGTTTTAAAATCATCCGTTTTGATAGAAGTAATTAATGAATTGTACACGAGTAGGATTAATAATGCTAGGACGAATAAGAAAATAAATAATCTTGTTGAAATTCGTTGATTTCGTAGATCATGTTCATCGACTGATGGCGGTATTGATGAGAAAAGATTGAAAGTTCGAATGAAATGAGGTATTTTATGCCATAATGCCAAAATTCGTTGTTTGATACTTAATTCTTCAACATATAGAATAGAATTAATGTCGAATTTATAGATAAAATACAATGAATTATATTCTGTTTTTCGACGTATAAATTCCCATATTTAGATATTTGATAGTATCACTCTCAATATTAATCGATTGTCACAAAAATTCTTTCATGATAGTTTCGCCATTTTATATACAAATAGTTTTCTTTTACCATCTCGTCAATACTCTCTTGTATTTGTCTCATTAACTATTTTTATTTGATTTTCTCTAATTTAACATTTATTGATATAAATATCTCAATGCATTATTGAATCATCAACATGATTGTATATTATATTATAGCGAATTTTATTCTAGATTTCGAAGGAGTCTAAAATGCTCATAATGTTTAATGTCGACTTTTAAAACTTGGTAAATTAGTATTTTTAGTGTTGATTCTATACTGAATATTCCATATTTAATACAACAAATAACTTCACTAACAAGAGCACTGTTGAACCGAGATTCAGTGCATCATGTAGACTTCAATGAGCTGTCTTTGATTGATTGATCAATACTTATAACGGTCGTCACAATCTGTGATACCAATAAGTACTTATTAATAGTATCCGTTACGTCTGTAAGAGAACAGGAGCGACACAAAGCTCAACTTCAAATCTCTTTTTCACTGATATTTTACAAAAAAAACCTAAATGAATTTAAAATAGTGCTCGTTGATTAATACAAACATTCGAGTATTGAACAATGTGACCGAGATCATGTCCGGTAATTCCATCGATAATATTCACATATATGGCATCATTCTTGAAAGTATGTTGCGAATTCTTTCCTTTTATTTTCCTTATGTTGTTGTACGTCATCATATTTGAAATACAAACTATCGAGTACTAACAATTAATATGATTCTACTTATTTTCATATAATTTTTCTAACTATTTCGGGTACCATTAAATCATGACTCTTTCTGCCTCTTTTTAACTGAATGTCGACAACATGACTTTTACTGTTACTTTTTCGAAAAATTCTATTGTTCATAATTATCTTTCAAATAATATCAATATTAGAAAGAGTTTATTGTCTCTTACCATTAGTTGATGTTTGCAATTGTTTTTTTCTTCTCACAAACTTCACTAATATCGGCACTACAATCTTCAAAGCAGTTATTAAACCACCAACAAGACCAACCAATGCTGTTATTATATAAACTATGCCGTGTCTTGGTTCATGAATATAATTACACTCTACTGGTTCACATTCATTATAATAGTTTTCATATTTCTTTGATAAATTCCAATTTTCAATCATTAATTTCTTAAGAAGTTCTTCGATTGTTGAATTAACAAAGTATTCACTTGATAATAATGGATTAAGAGCTGTTATATTCTTTGATGGAGATGGTAAGAATAATTGAATTTGATTTATACATGATTGATCATAAAAACATTGAAGAGAAGACTGAAGAAGTGCTTCGGTGATATAACATCCACGATAGAAGTTGGGTACAGATAACAATGGTGTTTTAGTAGTATAATTATAAATTCCATATTCGATGACACATCTTGATGTATTGTCACATGAACAGTCACCGTAGTCTATCGAAGGTGGAAGTAAATTTCCATTTATGGATACAGCATAAAGATTGTAGTTTGTTGCTAGTGCAGAGTATAAACCATTGTTTTGGGTTGTATTTCTTATCATATTAAGTGAAATATGAAAGTTGCTTGTTATTAATGATCTGAACTGATTAACAAATATATCTATTTGTGATACAAATAAATTCTTAGGTGTGACAGTTGTACTAACATATTGATTTAAATAGAACTGTTTCAAATTGTCATCAAGTGTTTGACTGATCAATTGACAAAATGAATTCAATGCACGAAATGCATTTCTACCTGACATTCGTAAGTCCTCATTTATTATTCTCCTCTGATCATGCTCAGAAGGATGAGTAAGATACTTAATCCAATCTTGAGTGACGAATATACTATTGCAGACTTGATGTATTGTATAATCGATACGAAGAATTTCTTTATAATCAATTAATATGTTTTTGCATGGACATGTGATTGTTATTGAATATGGTTTATAGAGTTCTTCATATTCTTTGAAAGTTGGTGTTTTAACAATACTCGTTTTGATAGAAGTAATTAATGAATTGTATACGAGTAGGATTACTAATACGAGGCCGAATAAGAAAATGAATAGTTTTGTTGAAATTCGTTCATTTTGAAGATTATGTTCATCAGTTGAAGGTGGTACAGATTGAAACATATTTAGCATTTTAAAATAAGTTTTTAATTTTTGAATTAAAGGAGTAACTCGTTCATTGACTTGAGCACCTAAAATAAGTAGTTAGAGAAAGTTTAATGAGTTGTATAGAATTTTCTGAAGATATATTGTTGGAACATAATATGAAGATAGATTCCTCATCAGGTAGTACTTATAAGAAACGTCAAAATCTGAGCCATCCACAATACGCAGTCGATCAGATCGACTATCTTGTATTTATTTTGAGCCACACTTACCATATTGCATCAGAGCATGAAATTGACTTTCGAAATGCATAAAGAAAACATCAGGAGTTCACGCCTGAAATGAATTACAAAGTAATTCAAAACTTTCATAGACTGTATATATGATTTATGTATGTTATGTATAAATATATTTTATGTATATTTATGTAATTACTATAAATTTTTAGAAAGGATTTTCATCGCCTACTAGTCGCTATTATGGTCTAGTAGAAGCTACAAGGATTTAGCAGAGATTGATAGAGACTACCATGACTGATAGCATCGCTCCCACCCACAACGAGATAATGCGCCTTTTAAGGGTATGATAGATTCACCCACAAGCTCACGTCGACACCCACAAATATAAAATTGAGAGAGTCGATGAATCTTATTAATCAATAAGAACCATTCTAATTTTAAATAGGCACAGTCGTGTTTTTATCCTCACTGTGTAGTAGTAATACCTTAACTTTTTCTTTTATCGTTCCAGTGTCGTAGTAGACATTTGTTAATCGTAATGCACATCTGCCATGACGAAGATTTAAATTTTATATCTTTAATTATCTCCCTGAGCTAGGAAATCGAAATATATCGTCTTACCATTTGCTGATGTTTGCGGTTGTTTTTTTCTTCTCACAAACTTCACTAATATCGGCACTACAATCTTCAAAGCAGTTGTTAAACCACCAGCAAGACTAACCAATGCTGTTAGTATATAAACAATACTATGTCGTATTTCATGAATATAATTACACTCTATTGGTTCACATTCATTATAATAGTTTTCATATTTCTTTGATAAATTCCAATTTTCAATCATTAATTTCTTAAGAAGTTCTTCGATTGTTGAATTAACAAAGTATTCACTTGATAATGATGAATTAAGAGCTGTTATATTCATTGATGAAGAAGATAAGAATGATTGAGTTTTATTTATACATGATTGATTATAAAAACATTGAAGAGAAGACTGAAGAAGTGCTTCGGTGATATAACATCCACGATAAAAGTCGGGTACAGTCCATACTGGCGGAGAACTAGGAGAACTAGCATAAATATACATTCCATATGTCTCGATACATCTTGATGAGATATCACACGAACAGTTGGAATATTTGAATAAGATCGGCGTAGACTGTGTAGTACCAGCTGCTACTCGAATATAGTAAGTCTGTGTCGATCCAGGGTATAAACCATTGTTTTGGGTTGTATTTCTTATCATATTAAGTGAAATATGAAAGTTGCTTGTTATTGATAATCGAAACTGATTAACAAATGTTTCTATTTGTGATACAAATAAATTCTCAGGTGTTACAATTATACTGACATATTGATTTAGATAGAACTGTTCCAAGTTATCATCAATTGTTTGATTAACCAACGTACAAAATGAATTCAATGCATGAAAGGTAGTTCTACCTTCGCTTCGAAATTTTGTATTAAAGGGTTTCGTCCGATTATCGGAATGAATGAGAAAACTAATCCAATCTTGCGTGACGAATGCACTACTGCACACTTGATGTATTGTATAATCGATACGAAGAATTTCTTTATAATCAATTAATATGTTTTTGCATGGACATGTGATTGTTGCTGAATATGATTTATAGAGTTCTTCATATTCTTTGAAAGTTGGTGTTTCAAAATTATCCGTTTTGATAGAAGTAATTAATGAATTATACACGAGTAAGATAACTAATGCTAGGACGAATAAGAAAATGAATAATCTTGTTGAAATTCGTTCATTTTGAAGATTATGTTCATCAGTTGAAGGTGGCACAGATTGAAATATATTTAAATTTTTAAGATATTGTCCTAACTTTCTTAATAATTCCATAATACGCCGAGAGATAGTTGACACTAGAGAAAGTTAAAATAAAACAAAAGTTAAATAATTGAATATTACGTAACTTAAAAATCTATTGTTCTATTTAGAATACACTGCGATTCAAAAAAAAGTATAATATTAGAAAAAGATGGATAGGTGGGTGAAAGTGTGAGTGAGACTGAAAAAGGTAGTACTCACACTCACCACACCCACACTCTCAAGAGCCACGTTTCTCTGGCTTAACCTGGTTTATATTATCATGCCTACAGCCAGACAGTAAATCGAAGAGAGGCTTGATTTGTCCCGATCTGTAGGCGGAGCCAGGGCTAGGGATGTACCGACCCCGAGCCTTTTAGGCTCGGTCAGGACTTTGGTGTGAGGGTGGGTGTGAGTGAAACTGTGAAGGAAAGTGAAAATGATAGTATTCGCACTCACCACACCCACACTCTCATTCTCACTCACACTCACACTTGCACTTACACTTACACTCACACTCACACTTACACTTACACTTACACTCATCCAAATCCACTCACACCCTGACCGAGTCCGAAAGTCTCGGTCAGGGCTCAGGCTCGATATACCCCTAACCAGGTCTGTTGATTTTTCTGATTTTTTTTAAGCTTGTAAAATTGTATAATTCCGTATCCCAACAGTGAACTTAAAATCTGTCAAGGACAGTCATACATAGCACACTTTTTCGTTTGTCTTATCTCTTTTTTCACCATTTTTAGAGAATGATAAATAAAGAAAAATTGAAGGAATCAGCATTGAACGGCTGATAGAATAAAAAATATTTTTATCAATCATTGATAATATAGGAGACGAAGATCTATGAAAAATATGACTTAATAAAACAAGTAACTACATAAAAGATAGTTTTGATCAAAAATAAATTCTATTATATGAAATATAATCCTTAAAAGCCGAAGGGAGTTCCTGTGAGGTTGAGGAAGAATTAATTACACAAATAGAGATTTTGGACCCACAATATGCACTTACCGTGGTTAGAACTACTGGGTATGACTAAAAAAATTTTTCCACCCAGATGGTCTGGGCGGAAAATGACCTTCATAATTCTTTGTACGCTTGAGTTTCTAGTATAGTTCAGAATCACTGTAAGTTCATTCTAATGATATTTTAACATATCTCCAATTATCTGTTGAGCGAAAAATTCAAAATAATCGTGATTACTATGCCCAAAAATGTTGTTAAAATGGTACTTCTTTTATAACGTCAGAATACTTTAGTAGAAGAGTTAAAAGCGTGCAAAGTTGTTCTAAAGTAGTTTAGGATTATTCCTAACGATATCACTCAAAATCTATATTGTATATATCAGGAGATATAAATATCCGAGTAATTAATTGTGCTTGAAAAATTACACATTCTAAGGGCTAGGTTTGGGTGTTTGACAACTGTCTTAGCATAATATTTTTCCATCATACTTTCACTATGACTGCCTTCGTCCCTGAAAACAGTAGCTTTTGTAGAAAAGACTTTATTCCTTCGTTCTATAGCGTTTAATGCAATGTCCCTTGGAAGGAACATACGGCTTTTTAAGGGATAAAGTGGAAAAGAGAGAACATACTGTTGATTGATTGAATAAATTGAATTGATTAGGTATTTGATATTCACTCGTAACTATTTGATTAATATGAATAGTGTTAATTTTTAGTATGAGATTGACAATAATAAGTAGAATAATCTGAATTAAAATAATATGTATAGAATTCAGAGGAAATTAATTTAGTTGCGTGATAAAAAAGAGAGACAAGTAATCATTCAATTTACAAGACATCGATAAAAAGCTGTAGCATCTAAGTGATGTTTGTATATCCCATAATGGGGTATTAAAGAAAAGAAAGTTTCTATCGTCAAAATTGATCATGAAGTTCAATCGCAAGTCACTTATCAATAATCTAAATCAATCAATATCATTGATCCAGTTGACGATGTTAGAACTCATCATTTGGGAAGCATCCGTCTCTTACTATAGTAAAAAAATGCTCTGAATACATTTTTTTTCTCTCAGACAACTAACGTCCATATGCTACCTTAAAAAATATTAGATTTTTATCATGTTCTGTATTTCCAACCTACGGTAACTAATATTTAATATTATTTTGTTCAAAACTAAGTTTGAAAAGGAAACAAGTTTGTTGTGTTTGTTGCAAATGTTTTAATAAAAATCTCACATTAGTTTGATTGTGTTGGTGAATAAAAAAAACTACGTAGTTCTATACATAAGTCATACATTATTCAATTAATAAAAAATAGGAAGATACAATAGAAATTATTGCTGATTATCATTGTTTACGTTTCTTGAAAATAAATTTAGAACATCACAAATAAACACAAATTTTTTCTCACATTTCACTTTTACTTGAATATATTGTTATGATAAATGCATAGCAATGCTAATAGAAGCCAGATGTTATCCGACATGGAGAGTTTAGAATTATTTACGTGATAATTAGCAGTAAGTATATGCGCATTTAGGTAGAAGAGAGAAATTATTTTTTTACATAAATATATATAAAATATTCAGTTAGACTAGACAAGACCCAAACCCAAACTGTTGGTAAGTTAAGGTTCGGTTTTATGAGTTTGAATTTATGCATTGAGTTTGAGTTCGAGATTCAAAATTGAGTAACAGTTCATGTTTCAATTTGTGTCAGCTGCATACATATATAACGCGTTGAAGTCTTTTTCTGCTTGTTTTTTTTTATATGCAGAAAATATTATTTGCCTATATAAATGAAAACTGGAAAAATGCTCAAACCCAGACTCATTATCCAAACAGTTTGGGTTTGAGTCATATCTAAGTTAGACAGTAAGTAAAATCGTCTGAAAGATGTTAGAAATGTGTTAATAAAACTGCGTATTTTACGCAATAATAGTCCTCCATCAATAAATCTTCGTTTTGGATGAGTGCATATATGGTACACTTGAAATTGAGGATACTGTTTCGCCAATTAAACTTTAAAAATCGATCTACAACGTTTTTTCATCAAATCCTGGAGAACAAAAACTAAATTAGTTTATTTTTTTACTCGTTTTTTATCGGCTCTGATGGCTTTAAAGAACAACAGATGAGTTCAAACAAGTGAAGGTATAGATGTAGTGTATGCGCATTTAATTCTATTATGATTGTGTAGTAGAATAATTATTTAAGAATCCATAATCATATTCCTGCACTTCGGTACGTATACTTATACAAAAACTTATAAATATTGTGCCGTAATGTTTGAGGATAGATTATTATTGATATTTTTCATAGATCTCCTCATTGTAAAAAACTGACGTTGTTGTTATATGTATATCTAACTATGATCTTTATTTCTGAAAGTTTCATCAGTGTAATTTAAACGTAGACTGAAATTCACGACTTTTTTGTGTTAGATTTTTGGATTATTTTTACTTTTTGATTAATTCTCTTTATAAATAGTTGAAGAAAAAAACTTTAGAAAATAAAGTTACTCTCAAAAACGTGAATTGTAATGGAGTTCATAGTTGCTAGATAATAGTAGGGATTAGGCCTTGAAATCGGGCCACTTTTTGATGGCCCGGCCCGATAATAACTAGAAGTTTTTTTAACTATATATATAAAGCAGTTCATAAGAAATTCTGTTACGTTGCGACTGGAAAGAGGTATATTAACGGTATGACATATGTGATTCATCAAACTCTGATGATTTATTTTATTAAATGAAATATTCGATAACAAAAAAAATTAAAAAGAGATACGATACATATTGATAGCTTAATATCAATATGCAGTTGGGAGGCCCAACTAAAACCCGGCCCGCCAGATTCATCAGGCTGATTTGATGAAGCCCTCCCTGCCTGAACGGTCGGGAATTCTAACATGGGCTGAGCGGCTCATTTTGAGGCCTGGTAGAGATATACCAAGCCCACGCCCTGACCGAGACTCTCTGGCTCGGGCTCGGTCAGTCTCAGGCCCGGCCAAAGCTCGGATGTGAGGATGAGTGTGGGTGTGGATGCGGGTACCATCTTTTTCACCCACACCCACACTCACACTGAATGTGAATCATAGTGGAGTTCATAGTTGTTAGATGGTGTAGGAATGTACCAAGCCCTAGCTCCGACCGATATTCTTTGGCTCGAGCTCAATCAATCTCAGGCTCGGATGTGAAGATGAGTGTGGGTGTCGGTGGCTGTGAGTGGTTAGTGCGGGTACCATCTTTTCACTCTCACACACACCCACAACTACACCCACACTCTCAGTACCTTTCAACTATCTTAGCGACGAAAGGGTTCCGAGATTCAAGGAAATAGTATTCATGATCAAAAAGATATTCTCTATTGAATGATGTATAAAAAGACAAAAATAATAAGTCATTGCCAACTTGCCCTGAGTATATCTTAATATTAAGTTTTATTCGATAAGGCTGAGAAATTTCGGGAAAAACTTTATATCATTTTCTTTCAAATTGTTCTAGATTTCCAACTAAAAAAAATATTATAATACTCTCTAAAGTATTAGCTATGAATCACAACGTGATAGAGGTTTGTAATACAACGTATCTAGAAATATAATATATAATAATCTTTTTTTTGTCGATCATTTCAGCCTGAAACATTACCTGTTCAATCAACAATATTGTATGTAAATTGTAGATTGCAAGAAATACTAAAACGACTGTTCATTTTAGATGTGCTTGCTTTCGACGAAGAAAATTCATATGGATTATAGTTTTTAGTATTGTCGCGATTTCGATTGCACTAGGCATTATATTACCAGCAACTATTATCAACAAGACAAAGGAAGATACACCAGGATCAGTAGCAACAGCCACAACAACAACAACAACACCAGCAATACTAATAACAATGGTAGAACCAGCAGCAACAGTACTAACAACAACAACAACAACAGCACTAATAACAACAACAACAACAACAACGAGAACGACAGGTATAGTTCTATCGAAGAAGAAATAGAAAAGGTGAACGAAAGCGTGATTATTTTTGTTTGCAGTTTGACTTATACCGTCAACTCAGAGACTAAGACTCTGCAAATATCAGCTCATGTATACCCAAAAATCTTTGTCTTCTTCATCTTTGAGAAAGCAGCTAAGCTGAAACTCATTGAAACATCAAAAACATTCTTGAATCGAAATTTAGAATGAGTAGAGTCACAATAGTATTTATTCTCGATGGCAAGTTTAAAAACTAAATCTTCTTTATGTGTCATTCACGTAAAAGAGTTCTTACTAAAATTTACAAACTTGAGTGTTCTATAATGCAGCTCTTTTCAGCCTAAATATATTTTTTATAAATACTTCTTCTAGGATGGATGCATAGTGGTAGTATGAATATTGCCCGAGCCTTGCACACGGCATCCGTATTAAAAGACGGCAAAGTATTGGCCTGTGGTGGAGCAAATAGTCCCACTCTAGCTAGTGCTGAATTATATGATCCATCAACGGAACGTTGGACAATTGCTAATAATATGAAGGTTAAACGATATAGTCATACTGCATCTGTATTAAACAATGGAAAAGTATTGGTTAATGGTGGAAGGAGTAGTGCTGCTCTGGATAGTGCTGAGTTATACGACCCATCAACAGGACATTGGACAAGTACAACTAACATGAAAAGCCAACGATATTCCCATACTGCGTCCGTGTTAGAAAATGGAAAAGTATTGGTGACTGGTGGATCGAAATCTGGTGTCACTCTGGATTCAGATAGTGATGAAATATTTGGTTTACGAACAGAAAAGCGGAAAACTATCGTTAACATGAAAAGGACACGAGACTCTGACGCTACATTCGTATTACCACATGGGAAAATATTGGCTGGTGTTGATACTAAGCCTGGTTACCTGAATAGTGCTGAATTATATGATCCAACAACAGGAAAGTGGACAAGTACGGGTAGTATGAAAAGTGGTCGATCTGAGCACACTGCATCGGTATTAGAAAATGGAAAAGTATTAGTTGCTGGTGGTATACAACGTAATGAAAGTAGTGCTGAGTTATATGATCCAAAGACAGAAAGTTGGACAACTACAGGAAATATGACTACCCTACGAAGACGTCATACAGCATCTATATTAAACAGTGGAAAAGTATTGGTTACTGGTGGAGTTAGTGATACTGGTTTGACTGTATCTACTGCGGAGATATATGATCCATCAATAGGAAAGTGGACCACTTCACATACGAACACAATGAAACATGCACGACATATGCACACTGCATCTGTATTAAAAAATGGAAACGTACTCATTAGCGGTGGATCGAATAATGTTGGTGGTCTTTTAAATATTGCTGAACTATATAATCCATTAACAAACAGATGGACTGATATTCTTATCATGCGAAATACACGAATGCAACACACTTCATCCGTATTGAATAATCAAAAAGTGTTGTTAACTGGCGGAAGGAATAATCCTAATTTTCAAAATACTATTTCTTATTTAAATACTACTGAGTTATATAATCCATAAACACAAAATTAGTCAACCAGTACTATTCAAAAAAACAAATAATTGAACTAAACTCTATCTCTATTACCTATTTATACAAATACTTTTCTAATTATTTTTCTTAATTTTGATCCATGCTCCTGCATACAAGGTGGTTTAAAAGTAACATAGCATGAACTTCTTGAGGGTCTTGGTGTGGGTGTCAATTGTTTCTTTATCCACACTTATACCAAGCCGCACCCACACCAACACTCTCAAGATACTTCCCATTTGATTTATTGTTATAGATAATATAAAAATAAAGAAAAAGAATTTAAATGAATAAACATATTTACCGTTCGATTTATCGTTTAGTATATTAATAAACAATATAAACTGTTTATATAGCTCATAAAAACCATTTTCTGAAGTTAAAATACTTAGTTTTATGATGTATTGCAGTATGATTTTAATTTTTCATAGATGGCTCTATCCTTAATGCTATTTAACTAACTCATTGTTTTGATCGTTAACAATTTATTTTTCATTTTATCATTGACCTTTCATATAAAAAGTAAGTAGCAGCTAATACATCATCTACTATAGTCTCTAGACCAATTGATGAAAGCTTTAGAGTGGAAACGGTACAAAACGACCCTTAAATGGCGAAAAACGATAAACCCTTGCGGCTGCCGTTTCCGATGAGATGGAACCGATTAAAGGAAACGACTACCGTTTGTCGTCGTTTTCAAACCGTTTAACGATTCATCGTAAAGGATGGCCTCAAGGTGACCGTTTTTCGTCTTTTTTTACCGTTTGAGGCCGTTTACAACACCGTATTCTTCCGCCTGGGTAGGGAACGCTATATATTGTTCATTGATAACTTGCTCTTCTTCGGTTTTGTAGTTCTTGTTCTTCTTCTTCGATTTTAAGAAATATCGTAAAATTATTTATTCTAGCTACCAAGAACTAAATAACTGCAAGTGTTTATAAAAGGGTAAATCGACGGAATTGTTGATAAAAAGACCAATAAAAATCACACATAATATATATAAAAATACCCAAATACGAATACTAGAATCATGAAAAAAGTATTAAATGCATTTTTTCAAATAAGAATTTAAAAGTTTATCCATCTTACTTTTTTGTAAGAATAATTCCAATCGACTCCAATTATCATCTTTGCGGAACAATGACATACGGTTAGTAATGTGCAACAGATACAAACTTGATCTTAATATGTACCATCTTGAGGGTATGGGTGTTGGTAAAGAGAGGAGAATTATCCACATACCCGCCCACACCCAATATTTAGCATTTGACTTGGATATTTTTATTTCTTTACATATTGCATAAAGAATTGAAGTGAATGATTCAATAATTAAAATTCGTACCCGATCAGTCTTTTTTTCTGAAATACTATTAAATAATTATTTATTCTTTTCTTTCTAATAAAAAATTTCTTTGTTTTCAACAAACGGTATAGTTAAAATAAAAGTAAAATGAAAGAGAGACGAATTATTGGTTATTCGAAATAAAGCGTCGGATACAAATACAATTCTAAGATATAGCAGATGACGCTTCATATAATTTATCATCTTAACTGTTGCGAAAAACTAATCGAATTAACTTTAAAAAGTATTAATTCTATTAAATCTTCTTTGTAAAATGTGAAAGAAATAATTTGTTATAAAATAATCTTTCATTATTAGAAGTAGTGTTTGAATAAAATTGAATGTTGGTTATTCTCTTAAACATAAATACTAATTCAGCTTTCGCTTATTGATAAATAACATGATAATTAACGTTTCTATTAAAACGTTCTATTTTCTACTTATTTATCATCATGTTGTTTTATATATATATTCAGTATATTAAAAAGAGAAATTTTTTGTTTTTATTTCAAAATATCGATTTTGCAATCGTTAAAATATGAATTAATGAATATTTGTTTCGAACTATTTATTTAAGAACAAAAAAAATGAATAAATAATTAATTGATGAAGAAGAAAAACAGTTCAATGTAAAATAAATAAAAAAAGCTTTTAAAAATAAATGAAATATAATCCTTATAAACTTTTAAACAATTGAATTCTATAATTCATTGAATCAACAACATAGAATCATCATCATATTTTCTAAGATTTGTTTATTTTAACCATCTTTTGAATTCATTAAAATTTTTTTCCATTGGTTTTTGATAATTTATAGATAAGAACCTTATAAAATCATCGAATTTTTTATGAGCAATAATAGTAAGTGAAAATGAATTATGCCATCCTAAAGATACTGATTTGACGAAGTGTTGACCTTGTTCAGTTGATGGTATAATCACGTGCTAATTATCAGAAGTTTTTTATTGATCAAAAAGATAATTCACATAAACATAGATTTGTTAATCATTGATAATTTCTATAGATGCAGGAAATTCATCAACACCCTTTCGCTATCGTCTATTTTTACCTTTTTTTGTTATGCCAAGATTTATCTCATTTTGCAGTAAATCTAATGTCAATATTTGAGTGCTCAATTAGTATATGAATAGATATTGATCGAAATCTTTAATATTCAAATATGTAATATTAGAAGTATTGAATTAATTAAGTGATACAGTCACACAATCTGGAGTCGTGTGCCTTCCTCTGAATTTTCTTTTCAAGTACCATAAGTATAAACAATAAAACCTTAGTAATGATTTGCCTTCAATTCATTTCGTTTGTTTGTGCAGTCTTTAATGTACAATAAAAAAAATAAAATATGGTTCTTCAAACCAATGTTACCGTGACGATTTCATCTTTTTTTCAAAATTTTACCTCTATATGCATGATTTTTAATAATAAACATTGAAAGTATTGTATTAGAAAAATCCAAAATATGATTATTATCATTATTTACATTGTGAGACAAAATATTATTCTTATTGACTCAAAGTATTGCGCAAACACAACTGTTTGTATATATAACGTGAAAAAGACTTATAGAGAAAAAAAATACAAATTAAACGATGGGAGTAAGATAAATAGATAAATATGATCTTCAGAATAGATTTAAGTTTTTCATTTTTAGGAAGCAAGTTTTCAATTTAATGATAAAAATCAACAAGCAATTATTGATCTATTTGGTGATCGTGAAATAAAACCGATTCAAGAAGAACTTGGCCGAGTAAATGTCAATCCAATAACAGATCATGTCAAATTTTTAATGAAAAAATTATTCATAATTATTTTCCTTTTTATTGTTGCTATTATTGGACTAGTTTCATTAATTATTGGTGTTATTGCGTACATACGACAATGTTATTTACCTCGTCAACCATCACTTCCAATTTGGTTAATTGTATTAGGTTCTACGAGTATAATTCTTATCATTGCATTGATTAATTTGGTTTGTTTCATTGTTTTTTTCTTATTTTATTTACAATATATATATATACATAATTCGATTTTATAGATTTTAGTAGCAACAGTTATTAAATATAAGACTAGTGAAAAAGCATTTCGTCGTGCATTTATGATTATAGTTGGTATTGGTGGTGGTGTTTTAAGTTGGGCAGTTGGACCGGTAATAATTAAATAACGATCAAACTGTGATATAGTTCGATAAATGCGAGATGATTTTTTTCTCTCTCTAGGGTTCACAAGCAATGTTCTACTTACCTTCTCGTTCATCAGACTGTTTAGGTTTTGTCGTAACCTACAGTACGGTAATATATTTTATATTAAGTCTTTTTTCATTTATTTATGGTATATATTGTATCTACAAATTCTGGTCACATTGTTGTTGTAAAATCAAAAAAGGAAAAAATCAAGTTCCTGTTGTTATTGTACCATTACCATCAAATGGTGCTCAAAAAGATTTACCTAATGTTATTGATGCAATCGTGCGTGAAGAAAATAGTGTTATTCCTATGAAAACAAGTTTACCAGTCGATGATTCTATTAAACGTGAAAATTAGGAACACTCTTTTGTTTATGTTGAATAAAATAGTTTGAAATGATAATTTATTTATTTTTTTTAACATTCCACCATGATAAAAAAAATGATTTTTTTGATGATGAAATATATCGAAGAGAAATATCGTAATGTTTCAAATCTTTATCAAAAACTATCTTTTCTACTTTGAATAATGTAAATGGTAATAATAAAATTTCTTCTTCATCTTCAAAATGAGAAATACCTTGTAAGTTAATAGCAGTTGGACATTTTTCATCAAATATATATATAAATAGAACACCAAATGTATCCGATGTTAGATCAGTTTCACCATATAATTTAGCTACATCATCTTTTATTGATGTTGATTGAAATAGACGTGTTTCTAAAATATAATCTTGACTTTTTTCTGCCCATTTATATGCATCAATATCCATTTGTGTCATTTGTGCACCACGATAAGTTTTACCTTTATATGTTCGATTAATTAATTTTTTTAAATTAAGAAATATTATTGTTGTGTAAGCATTCATTTCTTGCTGTAATGCTGTATAAACTGATGATTCAAATGTATAAATTTTTAATAAATAGTCAATATTTTTTGTTTGTTTATATTTTTCATATTCATTCATGATTAAATCACGTTTTTTTGGTTCCTTTTGAAAACATTTTTCAAGAAATATTTCAAAATTATCTTGAGCTTCATTTATTGTTCTTAATTCCATTAAAGTTTTTAATGGTAATGGTGCATTCTGTAGAGCAAGCATAAATTGTCCATCAAATGTCTGTTTAACATTTTTATAACCACGAACCCAATCATCAGGAATTTTTTCATGAGAAATTTTTTCTTCATTTTCATCACCAAGAGAAAGAATTGGTTGAAGAGATAATGTTGGATGATTTTCACAGAAACGTTCGATTGTTGATAATCGAGAACGACGAAATAATTGTTGAATTTCAATAGAATTTGCACAATCATAAGCAGTTTTACCAGATTTATTTCGTGAAGTTCTCGCACAAATATCTTGTTGATTGAGTATTAAAATAATAATATCTTTGTGATTATTTATACAAGCAGCATGAAGTGGTGTATTACCATCTCTTTGTTGATGATTGATCTTTTTATAAGTCATTGTAGGTAATGATTGACGAACTTGTTCAACATTACCATTTTTACAATTATTATAAAAATCATCATCATCTATTTTCGATTTTGAAACACCTGACTATAAATAAGAAAATAAAACAGGAAGATTATTTATGCATCAATTTAACTTACACCCATCGTTTGATATTTTATTCAATAATGAATTTATTTTATTGTACACAAAAGTAAACGTGAGTCAGAATAGTTTGTATGTATTAAAAGTAGATTTGAGAGAAAGAATGAATTGATGTATTGACGAAAGAAACCATATTTTTGTTTTCTTTTTACATTTCAGTTGGTGCAATAACAATCAAGTTTTTTTTAACCTAAATATTTATCATGCCATAATCTAATTCACATGTTAAAAAAGAAAAGATACAACAGCAAAAATCAGGTATATAGAAAGATAGAGAGAACCGGGTTGCGAAATCCAAATTTTAAAAATCAGGAGTTTTTCGTTAAAAAACAGAAGTTGATCAGAAGATTTTCCTTAAAAAATAAGGAGAGTTTTTTCTTTAAACCAGAGGCAAAATACAGCAATGTAACGCACTTTTTCCAAAAAAGTAAAGCTTTTTATTCTCAAATGTTTACAGTTTTGGTTCTTGGCAAGTGAGTCAATGAAACGGTCTATCTTACTATTGAAAACTACAAATAAAACTGATATAAGATACGTTTGTAATTTTCTTCAAAGTTAATTTGTTTGTTTAACAATTCTACATTATTTCAAAGATTTTCTCATTTAATTTTGAGCTCGACATTCATTAAGATTATTTTTTTATTCTATTCCTGTTATCATATTGTCAAATTTTGTGTAAGTGAAACTTTGACTCATGATTAGTTCTTTAAACTCATTATTTATCGGTCCATAGTAGCACTGGAATCAGATCGAATCCAACAAGATCGATCATGTTTCTATCGATAAAAAAACCCAATATAGCGTACACATTACTGGTGATGTTGGTAAAATAAGGCACAAAACACATTGTGTAATTATTTACTGTAATGCTCAGGTAAAAATATGGTTTTTGTTGCATTCGTCATGTATGCTCTCCGAAAGTATACCCTCGCACAAAACTCTTTCCTCTATTGATTTCTTTTTTATCATATCTTGTATAAAATTTATTGTCGAGTGAAATATAACTTCAGAGTTTTATTACATTGTGATCGTTTTACCATACTAAAATAAAACGCTTAAGTCATATCTCTACTAGACAATAAATTTTATACAAAGTATAATAGCACAGAAATAAAAATGGTGGACAGATTTTTGCTGTTTTTAGGTGTATCTCATATTTGGATTCATATTTCTATAAAGTTTTTGTCAAAAGAATTAGAGACATATGAAACTGATTTGGCGCTACCTGATTTGCTATCATATATATATATATATATATAGTTGTGACTACTCTCTTTTTTCTCATTTGTTGTATATAAAACGTCGTCAAAACTTAAGTAAGAAAAGAATTAAAAGGGTGTGGATGCGTTTTTTTCTTCATTCATACCCACCCCTATCCTCATTCACTATTCATATGAGCATGATCATAGATTGAATACAATTTCTGTTTATTATTTATTTTCTAATTCACAAACTTCACTAAAATTATCAATAGCTGAAATTAAAACAAATAATTAGGTAAAACTATCAAATGATCGAGCTGTCTATTTTCAAATGTAGTATTATACGTTTTGCCTGGATTTTTTCATCAATATTCAGCTTGCACAAGATGATGAAAATTAATTAATACGAATTGCCACTGCTATTCTTGGGAAAGATCCATCCATTAATGATCAGATACAAATCGAAATTACATTATCAGGTGAGAAGCTGAAAGTTTCTATTTAGTTGAAGGGTGTGGGATGGATGGCTTCTCATGACTTTGTGAACTACACTCTCAATAAGTACAAAACCGATAAGTTGATCATGAAGATGAGATAGAAATCTGTGTTTGAGATATATTACTTGGATAATAATATTTTCATTAACTGTTATTTCTTTAATATAATATAAACAAAGAACTTTGTCGATGATCAACTTTCTTAATATTGTATACTTCTATGATATCATCAGATGATATTATTAAAATTTATTTGTATCTATAAAAATTCGTTGTATTTTATTTATTTATCATATTACAAAAAAATAAAATTAACAAAGACTCATGACATAGTGAAGATATATTGAATACAAACTTTGATAACATTCAAGATGACGAATGAGAATATAATAAAAATAATACACATAAAGTAGAAAATTTTATTAAATTATATGCAAAACAATAAACAATTGAACTTTATTTTGGTCTTCGTCGAACAGCATTTGTCATACAATGAACACCACCACCACCTTCTAATAAACCTTCAAAAGGTATGAGACCTACTCGACACATATTATTGTGAGTCATATGAGTAACAATCCCTTTTTCAGCATCACTACCAGCATAAGTGACAACATGGCAATCATCAATAACAACAACATTATGTCGACATTGTCGTTGTTCATCAATCGATGTTTGTTCATCTTTTGCATCATAAAATATTAAATCAGGATTATTTAGAAGTTTTCGAAGAGTTTGTCGAACATTACAACCATGTGATATCCATTTTGGTTTTAAACATGTCTTTTGATGAGAATATTGGTTTTCTACAGTATATATTTGCATAGTTTCAGCTAATAGACCATGTAATGTAAATGCATGTTTACCAACTGAACTAAGAATAGTATCTAGATGCATGTAACATCGTTCAGGAGGTATCATAATAACAATAACTTGATGAAAAAGGCCTGTTCGAGTAAGTGCTTCAATACCAGTTCGATTTGTTCTTTCACTACAACCAATAAGTAGAATACCATCACCAAGATAAGCAACATCACCACCTTCGATTGTTGGTATTTCTTTATCACTTTCATCAATATTTTTGTGCCATTCAATGATTTCTAATCCATAATTTGATAAATGTGGATGATATTGAAAAATGATATGTAATAGAAGAGGTTCATTTATTCTTGTTGGTTTATTCATTTGCCAAATAAAAACATGATTATCAATAATTGAAAATCCATCACGCATAAATAAAAGATTCGGTAATGGTGGAATGAGATATTCATTCATTGAATTATTTGTTGTAAGAAGAATTTGAGCATAATCAGATGTACCTAATTCATCTTGTGAACAAGCAACACCAACAATAATATCTTCCGTTAATTGTTCAGGTGTTCGATGAAGTAACCATTGTTGAAGAGCTAATAAAGATTGTTGTTGATTATTATGATTGAAATGAGAATTAGTAAGAATGCCTTGAATCAATTGAGAACGTGCTTGATCACTTGAAATAAGTGTTTGCCGAAGAAGATCTTCAAGATAAAGTACATGTATTCCATGATCACGTAAATATTGTGAAAATATATCATGAGATTGTTGTGTTTGGATAATATTAGGAAGAGCATCATAAAGAAAATGATCATGATTCTCTTTTGTTAATCGAAGAAGTTCTTTGCCTGGTCGATGCATAAGAACAATGTCTAATTTACCACATTCTGAATGAACACCAACACCAAATTCATCCAGAATATCTTTGATTTTTGAAGTAGATATATCCATATTATCAGTGAGACTAAATGATTGAGAACTTCTATAAAAAAAAATAAGATTATTGTCTTTTAAAATGAATGTAAATGATACTTACATACTATTTTCGCATTATTTATCACACAATAATATCGTTTTCGAGTTACACGTGACAAATAAATATAGTTCTTTTTCGTTTGTATAGCATACAATGAGTGAGAAAAACCTTTTCTCTTGTGTTTATATGTTTGTATGTAACGAATGGCGTATAATAAATAGACCTCTCATTCTCTTACCTCTATTACGATAGTATTAATATGTGAAAGACAAAGATTTTTTTAAAGTGGCGTCTTTCAATTCGGTATAATCTTGCCAGTTTCAACTGACCAAACTAAGATTGATTAGTTCATTATTAATGACGAAACCGATTAGTCTAAAAACCTTCCTGTACATTAGATTTTTTAGAGCTTTTTCTCTGATCGTTTTGGTAAAAACAAGTTTTGAATTTCATTGAGAAGACTATACAAAATGATTTGAAATGCAGTTATTTCTCGTAGGTAATTGTAAAAAGTCGATTGACATATTTCAAAATGAACATATATGATCAGTAGATTTTTTCAAGGAAATTTTTCTTTACAAATATGTATATTATTCTATATTTCTATAGTATAGCTACTTTAAAATGTGCTAATATTAATCAGTTTTAATTTGATCAGTTAAAACCCGCAAGATCAATACTATCAAAATACAGGTAAAACGGTGATCGATCTATTGACTATGACTCATCCTTTTTGTTTTTTCTTTATACTCTTGTCATTTTACATATTAACAAATTCAAAAAGTCTGATTCATAACGATAATACAATACTGAAGAATAATTAGATGTTTGTTCTTTTGAAACATAAATACATTTTATTTTATATAGTATAAAGTAAAAGATGTCGTGATGTATTGCTAGAGACTTTAGGTTATTTGCTTACTTGATTCATATTTTATTATGTAATATCTGATAAATAAACTATCGGTATAGATATAATTTACTTCAATAATGCTTATATATTTTTGTTTTCAGTCTGGTTTATGGATGAGATATTCATGAAACAAATAGCTTATTTCACGTTAGGGATATATTTCTAATGATTCGATAGACAAAAGTTTCTTTCCAAACGGACAATTGTAATCAATACTAAACAAGAATAAATGTATCATATATAAAAATATTTTTTATTTGCATAATAGCGACACACTCAACGAAAATCTCAGCATCGATCTGACAATACTATTCTGTTAAGAACAAAGGTTTGTTGATCATCATCATCATTTGTTGAAGTTCTACGCTGTTTAATTGCAACAATAATATAAGATAACATAGCTAATGTAAGATAGATAAGTTGAAGAATAATTTGTGTACGAACACGTAACATAGTTGCATAGAAAAAAATGATGAGAGATGCAGCCTCTTGAACACACATTAATAATGAAAAGGACTCATCTTTTTTATCCGGTAACATAGAATTGTACATAGCTAAAAGACAAAGCATTGTTAATATATTTTCTTGTGTTAATTATTTGGTAAATAAAATATTAAACAATGACTGTCTTACGGAATTTTCGTTATTATTTTGGTATATCGAATTTGTCATAATTTCTTAAGCAACAAGTCAAGGACTTTTGAAAGAAAAAATAACGAGTGAAATATTGAATTAAAAAAATGTTTGTCTTCAATTATATCTGTGAGAAATACGTTCGAAATATTTTCAGACTATCCTAATACTACAAATGCTTTGAATCAGCTCGCGAATATTGTATTTATCTTTGAAAAACTTCTCTCTTGTCTGCGAAATATAGTAAAGTTTTGTAAGTATTGATAAATGTTCAATTTTCTTCATTTCGTAGTTTAATTTCTATAACATCTATTAGTAAGATATAACTACATTATACAAGAAATACTGCAGTATTTCGTTTAAATTTTATGATGATCAAAAGAAATTAAAATCTTATGTAAAACCTGTGATAAATGGTTCTGTAAGTCCATCTACAATACTTGATAAATATGGAATGATAAATAACACATAAGTTTGTGAGACTGTTGGTTTCCACACAAGCATAACAACGAATATAGTATAGCTTAACAACGATGAGATTAGAAAGCATACTGGTCGACTGTATTTTAATTTAACTATGTAAGTAACGATAATCGAAGCAGCAGTAGCTATTATACCATATATTGTCATAATCAAACCTACATTAGGTATGATTAGATAAAAAAATTGTGTCAAAGCATCATTCATACATACCAACATATTGAACACCAATTGTACATGTAATAAAGCTCTATAAAAAAGAAACTTTAAATTTCGAGAAAATATTCAGTTTTATGACATACTACATTTAAGAAAAACTTTTACATCTACTCCCCAAAAGAACAGAGTCAAATTCAACTGAGCATCATTTCGTTTAGTTCTGATAGTTCTGAGCTATGAAAAATTGTTTTTCATTTGTTCCAAATGGCTTATCAGCTGAAGGACGATCAAAATTAGTGATTATTACCTGATGAAACATTGAAATATATTTTATCTTAATCTTAATCTCAGTTCTAAAGAAGATAATTATCCTATTAAGTTTTCTAAGTCGTGTGCTTGAACTTATACTTGGTATAAAAATTATTATTTATCAATTTTTCTAATTATAAAATTTCTTTAAACTTACATTTGTGAAAGCTCCCATAAAGAACGCTTCACCGGAAAGCGTCCAAAATCCAAGTGGTATGAGTAGAAGATGATTTGGTTTTAACGCCGTTTTCCATGTTGATAATATAGAATTAAGTGATTTTCGTAATAATCCTTGAGAATCATCTTCTTCTATAATAAAATAATAACTTAATTGATCATATCAAATATTTATAGTTACTTTTATTGTCACGTCTCTGAACAAGAAAAATGATGGTCAACACTATCGACACAAAGATAATACCACTAAGTGCACTATAAAGAATATAAATCTTAAAAAAAAGCATTTCATCAATACTATAATGAGATAAATCATTTCTGATTTATAATCTACCGTTTTCTGAGATATAAGTTGATGATTGTCATCTTGCATTTGATGTTCACTTGTTAAGAAATTAGCTCCACATTGTATGGAATTAGTATTTGTAGTTTTTGGAGTGTTTCGTAAGACTAAATATGATATGAGATTACCCCATATTTGAGCTGCAATAAGTAACACCAGTGTAAAAGTATGCTTAAATTATATAGTATAATATCAAAATAACCTGACTGAAATGCAGTAAAGAAAATACCAAAATATTTTCTAGTTTTTATCTCAGCATCATCATCATTCTCACTTTCATCATTTGCAAGTGCAGTTACGTAAGAATCTTGAGCCATGGAGAAACAAGCTCGAAGACTTCCACATATGACTGCAGCTAAAAAAAGGAGTATTTATCATAATATTTCAATTGAGATACTGCTGTTTGATTTACTCGAATACATTAGCCATTGTTTGGGATACATATTAGATGCAACATATACCAATATACCAAATTGTTCTCCGACAATTGACCATTTGTAACCAAAAATATATCCAAGTGGAGCTGTTAAGAAAATACATGTAAGTAAGGAAGCACCATATGTAATTGCTACAGAATTGAGACCAACATCTTTATCTGTATTGAGACTTGATTGTAAATTAACAACTGCATTTAATGATGTAGTTGCACAGGTATAAGCAAAACAAATCATTATAAAATTTCGTTTTGTACCACCTTTCTTGTTTTTATTATTTGTATCCATATAGTGAATAAAGATGCCAAAGAAATATAGTTTGATACTAAAACAAATTATATAGGCTGTGTTAAAATATATAGGAAAATGACAACTCAAGACATAGGGAGAAATATTTCCATTGATAGGTAAGAATCATTTGTATGGATGGATATATTTTATATGGTTGATGGAGTTACATATGTTTAATATAATACCTGTGTATAACTGTCGTATTCGATACGGTTGAAGAATTGACAAAAATTATGTGATGACAGTTAATAGAACCAATCGTTTGACGTATTTATTATAGACAAAATGCAATACAACAGATGTATGAGTCAAGAATGAAAAATAGACATTGTAATTTACATATATACTTTTGTTGTCTTATTGTTATGAAAGAGAAGAAAGAATATATATATATATATGTATTGCTTTTGTCTTAATTCGTACTTATATTTCTTTTTATAGTGTAGAAATATACTTTATTATTTTCTACCGTAACAATATTCGTTGTAGTTCATTCAGTCTTCCAGTATTAATTATTCGTTTATCTCTTTTCTTCAAATGAAGGACTTATCTTGTAATGATAAGTTAAATCTTTGAATTGTTAATATTTTATTGATTTTGAAAATGAAGTAATGATATAGATCATGTCGAAATCAATTAATGAGAGAATTTGTTCAATACAACAAATACAGAAGATCATGGGATAAAAACAAGTACAAATGATACGATATTTCTTCTCTCATTCATTCTAGATTTTGATCTTAAAGATGTCATATTTTATCAAATGTATCACTATTAGAAAAATAACTAGATTCACTGTTTTTGTTACCTCAATAAAAACTTTAAAAATACGATACTGTAATTGACAAAGAAATTTAATTCATAAATAATCATGAAAATATTTCTTTATTCACTATAAAATATAAGATAACGAAAATCATTGTAATAGATTAAAGAAATACAAAAAAAAATTAAACTAATTAATTTAACTAAATTTTTTTTCATTGTTTCTTTCGTGAAGACGATGTAACTTTTTCGGAAGATGAAAAAAGATATTGTTCTATAAAAAATTTCAAGAAAAATAAACAATACACAGGTACAAGAGCATATGGAATAAGAAAGATTATTAAATGTTCACGAGAAAAATTTTCATATCTTGGACAAAGATCTGGTACAATATGCCACATATATGTAAGTGTTATTAATTGTACAATTTGTAATGCTGTAATAATAGGTCGAAGAAATTTTGGTAAACGAAAAGCAAAATGATAATACATAAGGACATGAACAAAACCATTTAATAGCATTCCACCTTTTTCTGGACCAGGTAAATTCATAACAATTATCATTAATAAAAATGTTGTAGCATGATGATATGTATGAAGAAATCCAATTTTTTTCAATGAATGTCCTTTCCAAATAAGAATAGCTGTATCAAGCCATTCCCATATTTTTGAAACAGTAAAAGTAATTGATATAAAACGAAGCCATGGAGGTAATGGATTACAAATTAAAGCTGACCAATTTGTTATTTCACCTGTTATAATTAGATGATATAAAGCAGCAACACATGAAAATAATGAATATAAAAATAATAATCCATGATGAATTTTTGCAAAAGAATGTTTAAAATTTGGTGATAATTTCGTTGTTAATAATGGAAAAATCGTTGTAACCAAAAATAGATAGAGTAAACATGTTCCTAATGACATCGCATAAGTCCATGGCGGAAATAAATCTATAGTATGATTAATATATGGAATTTCCATATGAAAATGTTCAAAAACGAATAAATATGATGGTGATGACATTGCTGAAGAATAACGAATATGATTAAATAAAGATTTTAGTCTAAGAATAAAAAAAAGAATGATAAAGAAAATACAACCAGGTAAGAAAAGATAAAATTTTATGTACTCTATCAACAATCTGTATCTTCGCTATATGAAAACTTATTCTATTCATCTTTTAATAGATAATGAATGAAATACTAATTTTCAGTCAAAATCTATTTTTTAACTTAAAGATTAAAGAATCATTAATCATACTGAGTGGTTTTTCTTTTTACAGACGGTGGTAAAATAAAAATAAGCGTGATTATAAATTAAAAATTAAAAACAACTTTTATCTAAAATCCTGTCGAGTATTCCAACGTAAATTTATTGAACATGCAAAACTCTAGTTCTAAATAACTTGATTGGATTTCGATAGCGAAAAAAATAAATAAATCTATCTAATAATTTTTCGGAAAAAATAATCTAGTATCATTATTAATTTATTAGCCGTTTACTGTTAGACGAAGTATCGTTTAAAAATGCAATTTTGCCGGGGTCGAATTCAAAAACATCCTATTTTGTTAGCATGCAAGAACGATAAATAACAATGTGTAAATTTTTCTTATAATCTAAGCAGTATTTTACATATGCACTCATGCGTCTTATGTGAGAGCGATAACAAAATTATGTTGGTATGACCATGAAAAATACTATATGTTGTTTTTTTCTTCCTTTTTCAGCGAAGAAAAAATATTATCGTTAAGCAACAAATGCCAAAAAAAGTACAAGAGTGTCTGCTATTATTATTTTGACTACTTGTAAAAGAAAAACTTACTTCTATCGATAATATTTCTTAGGATCTGTTGATGAGTGTTAATATTAAACTTAGTGATGTGATGTTTCTTTTTTTTTTTCGTCTATATTCTCCTCAAAAATATTTTGTCTATGTAAAATAACCTAGGCATCTACTCGCCACTTACGGACTCTTTTTTTTCTTCTTTTCTTTCTACTAGAAAAAGAGAAGAAAACCATCTGAGTTTGTTGCCGTTCTTTTTTTTCTTCTTATAGACGGCAATGATAAGTATGGTGTGTGTGCAGAGAAAAAAAGAGAAAGATTGAAAACAATAGGATGTTTGTGACCTGGTTTTTTTTTCATGTCCTCATCAATTATGGTTATATATTATTATGATAAAAATTTTGTTGGTTTTTGTTTTCTATTCTTTTCTTTATTTTGTGTGATAAAAAGAATAAAAACAACAAAATAATAGTGTTTCGATTATCATGCTATTTGTTTTAGACTCATCTTTCCCAGATATTGTAGTGACATACAAAGAAAGTAGAATAAATATAAGTTCATTTTTTTTTATTACATTTATAATAAAGATATAAGTTAACATGATGGTTTGAGAAAAATTTTGTTCTAAAAAAGAGTCATACTAGAAAATAAATAATTACCACTAGGAAAAGATAATTTTGGTGGTTTAACATCTGTACAATGTTTTTATATCCTGGTGACATTAGCTGGGATCTTTAACAAAACATTTTCAGTGATAGTATACATGTATGAATACTAATTCTATTCAGAGTTAAATTTCGATCCGCCTCGTTGATTGTGTTAATGAAGCATTTAATTTCATTTCTCGACTATTGCGTACGAGAGTCAGTAAAAATAACTCTTACTTTAGTGATAGTTAAACTAATTTCATATATATATATATACATTGCATCAAAGTATTACTGGTGTTATTGTAATGTTCTTTGTAAAATATAGGGCAATCAGCAGATGTGTAATACTCACATTCATATATCCCAATCATATTAACCTTACGAAAAATAATATTTGCGACATGACTCACTACCAGTGTGTTTTGATCGTTCTATTCACGTTGTTTGACGATATATTATTTATGCAAGTGAAAATTGTTATTTTAGTTGTCGCATTACAAAACAGTTTTAAGAACCTTTTAATAACTCTTAAATTTCCAAGAAATATTTTCATCAATAACTTTTCTATTAATGTATTAAACACATAGTTGTAAAAATAATACAAGTATATTGGATTATTTTTCGATCAGACGTTATTCAGCTAGATATTGAGGATCATATCGATTTGACCTTGAGAAATATTTGTTACTAGTTTGCATGAATTTTATGATCCTATAGAGAAAAAAAATGACAGCTTGATTTTTGATAGGACTTCATATTTTTCACACATTTATTTGAAATTGTAGTTGGTCTCAACTAAAGATAACTTTTCTATATTTAGAAATGAATTATTCAACATGCAAAACTCTTCCGCAAGATTTCGTCAGTCAGAAAAGTCTAATACAATGAAAGGATCAACAATATTATTAATTCACTCAATTTAATCTTATTATTAAATAACGAAGAAGCATGCAAATATTGAACAAAATGTATTGTATCGAAAAAATTAATATAGACTTTAACTGACATAAAGTAATAAGTTAACATTGCTCATTGAATATCTTATAGTATAAAGAAAAATTTTTCTTTAATATCAAATGAGATTTATATTGATTAGATCTGTGTTTACAATTTCATTAGTTTTCGAGACATAGACTTTATCTTATACAAACACGCGATCTATCATGTATTTTGCATTGATTAAAACTTTAATGATATAATCAAGTATGTAATAGTAAAATTCGTAATAAAAACCTCTTTTTTTCAGAATGGTTCATGGATTTAACAGGTTGTTTAATTATAGCTATATAAAATGGCTTTAATGTCCATTACTGTTATTGCTATTTAATTTTTTTTGTTTCTGTAAATCTACAATTATTCAAAGAAGAATAAAATAATCAGTTATATTCAATGAATAGTAAATTTATTCTCTTCAAACATTTATTCACTATATAAAATGAGCAATTCTTTATATATTATATCCATTTGAGTATTGTTCTTATTTAGGTAAATAGAAAGCTGTTGATGAACTCTAATCCTTTACTCTTGACATATCAGATATGTATTGACATGAATGCACATGTGTGTCAATTAGAAAATGATGAATAGTAATTTGATCTATGATTATGTCCTGAAACAAACAAGGAAGTAATTTTCAATCGAATAAATACAAAATCAAATAAAAAAACTTCAAAAGTGTTAATCATCTGATAAAACAAAGAAACCAAAATGAGATCAAATCATTTAATGGATGATGATGATGTAAAAGAAAATGTTTTTCGTTTAAAAATGAATTTATCGAATTAGAAACGATTAAATTTAATGTCATTAGAAAGAATTGAAAAGATAAAAAACAAAACTCAGAACAATTTTTCTCAAGAGAGTCACAATCGTTAGTCTCTTATTCACATCTGTGTACAACAGTAAGCGCGTCTTGCTTTTGATCTTATTGTTCATTCTTGTGACTGTTCTATATGACGACAAATATATATATATTCACGATGAATTTTTTCTAATGAGTTATAGCATACAAATACATGGTATGGGTAAACGTGGGTACCAAAATGTAAATTATACTTGACAAATGAATGGAATCAAATCTTTTGTTTTCTATTTTTGTATGTCTATGTCAAGTGACACAAAGACACTCACACGCGTTTATGTATGAAAAAGAATTTTAACATGCAATTGTCAAATTATGAACAATGAAATAATATATATATATATATGTAAGTTCAAATATGAAAAAAAAATTTTTTTTTGTTCATTGATCGAAAATAAAAACGGGAAGTATTTTGATAAACAATAGAATATTCTTTTGTAATCATAAATCTTACTTATTAAGGTAATTCATGTTCATCATCATCATCATAAAATATTCAGCTAATAAATAAAAACATTAAGAAATATTAAGCATGACACTTGACCTCGTCCTTTTAATCCTAATCTATTTCATTTCTTTTTTTGTATACATACAATCATAATATAACTTTTCATGTTTAAATGATTAGTATCCTCGCCTCATAAATGAACATATGGACATCTTGTTCATTCAATTAAAAAAAGAAAATCGAATAACTGCTTCATTTTATCACTCCCTAACGTCCACTAAATATATACATATTGTTTTTTTCAAGTATATGTGTGAATGCCGATCATCAAACACTAGATCAATCGAACGAATGTTTATGATGTCATCTTTTTCCATATATGACAATGATCTCTTGATGTTAAACCGTATGTATTTCGATATAAAATAAGATAAAACGACAAAGGTTAATAACTGCACCTGTTATTATGATTCCGTGGTGTATCATCTCGAGAAATAAAAAAAAATCAATTAAATTCTCTCGATTGGTTTAGTTACAACGGTGCGTAGAAAAGTGATTCAATCTAATGAGCACAAGAAAATGAGAGAAGAGAGAAAGTTCATTTTTTTTCCTTTTGATTGAACAGAAAGAAAGAAAGGAACACCAGCTCGTGTATACATATATACAAAAGAATGAATATACAGTTGTGACCATCATTCCTGCTGTGTTCAGTTCAAGGGTAATTTCATAAAGTGTTTACCTCAAATCATTGAAGATCAGGTAGGGCGTTAGATGCTCACATCCCTAAAAAACTAATAAGATTCATTAGGGAACAGTTATTTATATTTCAGATAGAAAAATGTTTATTCTATACTTTCTTATGATTATTCTCATATCTGCTTATGATGAGAATACATCAATAATAAATATTCATGAAGAACTTCCATCAAATACATTACTATTATCTCCAATATCATCATCAAATATTGTTCAATGGTTACCATCATCTTATACATTTCAACCTTATTTTAAATTAAATCCAAATCAATCATTATACACAACAGATCAAGTTATTGATCGAGAAAAATTTTGTGAAAAAAAATTTTGTAATTGTTCGGAATGTATAATAAATTTAAATTTCTTACAAACTTTTTCTATCAATAATATTTCAATTCGAACTATTCAAATTATTATTGAAGGTAAATTTTAACAAATTATTTATTCGTTTTAACCATTTATTATTATATAGATATCAATGATCATTCACCAACATTTAAACAATCGAATATAAAATTATACATAGCAGAAAATGTTCCAATTGGTTATGAAATTCCTCTTGAATCTGCCATTGATAATGATTATGGTTTATTATCAATCCAACAATATGAATTATATCCAATAAAAAATAATCCATTTCGTTTAATTCAATTATCGAAACCAATTCTTCAATTAAATGAAATTTTAGATCGTGAAATAAAATCGAATTATCTATTGAAATTAATCGCGTATGATGGTGGACATCCATCATTATCTGGAGAACAAAATATTGAAATTATTGTCACAGAGTATAGTTTTTTTTATTTTATTATTTTCCAAAAAAAAAACAAAGAATTTCTTTTTATAGTGTTAATGATAATGCACCAATATTTGAACAATTGATTTATCAAAAATCTCTACCAGAAAATCAACCAATTGATACTATGATATTAAAAATTCATGCAAATGATCGAGATGAAGGAGAAAATGCTGTTGTTACATATTCAATTGATGATCTATCATCAACATTTAATATTAATCATCAAACAGGAGAAATTTATTTAAGAAAATGTTTAGATTATGAAAAACAACGTTCATATTCATTAGCAATTAAAGGTTTATTTTAATGAATTTTTGTTCTTTTTTTGTTCTTACTTTCTATGTGCATGTTTAGCTCATGATAATGGTATGCCACAGCTGAATAATTATGCAACTTTGATTATTGATGTAACAGATGTTAATGATCATACTCCAGATGTTTTATTAACAGAAGTTAATGGAACTAAAACGAATAATCGTTTGATCAATCTACCGGAATGTACATTAAAAGGTATAGATATATTTACAAATTCTTAAGTATGTAAGATGTTTTACCAGGGTCAAGGTTATAGAGGAAGGAAATGCATGTTTATTTTGGAAAATACTTGTGAAATTTTAATCGTTGTGGCATCAGCTGTCACTTGAATAGAAACAGTTGTTTCTTGAAAAAAGAACGAGTCTTGATGGTTAGTCTATATGAAAACGTCAGACTCATTATTCACACTAAACCCCTCGCGGTTTAGTAAATACAGATGATTCCGATACTATCTTCATTAATCTGTTTAGATACACCGTTATTATATATTTATATAACTGATGAAGATTCTGGTGAAAATGGTCGTGTTAGTTGTACAATAAATGATACTCGTTTAAATTTAATTTATTTAACTACAAATGCTTATTCATTACAAACAAGTAATTCATCATCATTTGATTATGAAAGTGAACAATCCGTCGTTGTATATTTACAATGTTCTGATTTTGGTATTCCAAGTTTATCAACATCAATTTTATTTAATCTATTAATCGAAGATTGTAATGATAATCCACCAGATATTATTTTTCCATTACCATTCAATCAATCATTATTAATACCTTATGAAACAACTAAAACTCCATTTATTCTTACTCAATTTATCATACAAGATCGTGATCATTCCCAACCAAATATATTCTCATATACATATATTGTTTCACCAACACTTGATATAAGTTTAATTAATAACGGAACATTAATTCTTTGTTCAATGCCAACATTTACAGGTCAATTTACAATTAATGTTACTGTTTATGATATTGGAAATTTAACAAATAGAATATCAATACCAATTCATATATATTCAATAAATGAAACAATGTTAATAAGAAGTTTTAGTATAGAAAAGACAAGTTTATTATTATTTATAACACTTTTTGTTATTATTTTTCTTGCTGCTATATTGATAGCAATATGTTTTTTAATTGCTTTTATTTTACGATCAAAAACAACAACAAAATTAAAAAAAAAATCAATACAAAATTCGTCATGTGAAAGTACAACAAGTTCAAATGAACGTGCAGGTTCATCACAAAAAACAACTATTGAAATACTTGATGAAAGAAATGTAAGTTAAAAAACATTTTTTCTTCGTAACACTTTCATCATAAGATAAACATATCAATTGGGTGATATGTAAATATATTGTTTGTTCAATACATATTTGATATCATGAAACAAATAGACACTTATGTCATTTTTCTCATTATAATCGATGTATTGATATTTATTTGCTATATTAGAATTTCTTTAAAGGAACAGAGCTGCCGAAGAATAAATATACTCTCGTCCACATAGCACATACAAAAAGCAAGAAAATTGTCTTTGTAAATCTGATAATAATAGAGTTCAAAGAACAAGTAGAATTAACCTATAAATGTTTTTGAATGAGTACAAAATATCAAGTGCATTATGACTCAAGTATTACTAGTCTCATTAAATGGCATGTCATGTTATACGACATACTCTAACTCTATTTTTTTTTACGATATTTGCTCAATATTCATATGCGGAATAGAAGAAAAAAGACATTAATGAATTGAGATTTTTAATATTTTCTTGTTGTTTGACTTTACTTCATTTGAATAGAAGATGTGTATGTTTATATATAGATTAATGATTGTATGCTACATTAATCTCGTCACTTTTTTTTCTTCTAAATACGATTAAATTTCTTTGTTCTTTTAAGAATTCATCCAATCGTGTCTATCAATATGGTATTCAACAAACAGCAGATATGAAAGTAATCAATACTAGCGGTATTCATCAAAGTGATTTTGATTATTCAGAAAAGGTAATTTAAACTCGTTTTCTTTTTGTTAAAAGAAAATCTTATCAAAGAATTGTTTAGGTTGAAAGATATTTAACACATTTAAATAATCGAATAACAGGGATAGATATCGATGAAGGTGTTTATGGATCATCGGATATATCAACTGATCATGCACAACAATTAACAACTCGACCATCATCAATTAATTCAATACATTCATCACAACAAACTTATCAAGATAGTTTCAAACGTTTTGAACAATTATATTCACTTGTTGAACACCAACATAATCATCATCAAATAACAAATCTTGATACTTCAGCATATACATCAGATAGTCTTTATGTATAATATAATAAAGAGTCAATTTTATACTGTTTTTTTTCTCTATTAATACATACATATATATTGATGTTGCGAGAACATATTTATAGAACATTATTCTACAATCAGAGATTTTTGTCTTCGAGAGTATCTTGATTAATAGTTCTAGATCATCTTGAGCGTGTGGATGTGATCTATAACTAATACCTACATCCTCAACATATATTTACCCTTATTTAACAGTCTCGATTCACTTTTACAATGAATATCATCACCTTAATAAATAAACACATCGTTACTTATAAAACATAAAATCTTATTTAAAAATAAAGATTTTTTATTTGTGAATTATGACGAATTGAAAAGAAAAATATTTTAAAAAAGTGTATTTTATTAGATATGCTCATGTCAATGATCAACAGATCTTCGACAATATTGCCTTGAATTATTAAGACAATTGAAATACATAATATTCTGAAAGAAAAATAGTTTTTTAATTTACTTTGAATATTTGTATGATCTCAGAAAAAAGAGTCTTTTATTTTTATGTTTAATAATAAATCAAAATAAAGTGACAAAAATGAAAAAGAAATTCAACTAAGTCGAGTTAAGAAATGTTTTCTAGTCACATTAACATATTGATCTGTTCCACGGTATGTTAATATATATAGAAATCATTTATTTTTTATACTTTCGAAGTTATTTGTGTACTTTTGAAGGTTCGGGTGATTAGCAGGTAATGATTGTTGTGCAATTTGTATAGCATGTTCGTAAAATGTACGAGCTTTTGGATAATTACGCATGCCGCAATGCACTGCACCAATGTTGTTGTAGGAACCAGCCAAATCACGATGATTGGGAAAAAGTGATAGTTTTTGAATTCTAAGAGCTTTCTTATGATAAGAAAGTGCTTTAGAATAATCACCCAGGTTTCTATGCACTATACCAATGTTGTTGTAGGTCATAGCGAAATCAAGATGATTGTGAGGAAGTGATGATTTTTGAGTTTCAAGAGCTTCTTCATGAGATGAAAGTGCTTCACGATAATGACACAGGTTTCTATGCGCTAAACCAACGTTATTGTAACTCATAGCCAAATCAGGATAATTGAGAGGAAGTAATTTTTGTCGAAATAGGAGAGCTTTTTCGTGAGATGAAAGTGCTTCTGCATAATTTTTCATGCTGTCATGCACTAAACCAATGTTGTTGTAGGACACAGCCGCATCACGATGATTGAGAGGATCTGATTTTTGCCGAATTTCAAGACTTTTTCTATAATAGAAAAGTGCTTTTGAATAATTTCTCATGTTGTAATGCACTAAACCAATGTGGTTGTAAGTCATAGCCAAATCAGGATGATCGAGAGAAAGTGATTTTTGCCGAATTTCCAGACTTTTCTTATAATAAGAAAGTGCTTCTCGATAATTACGCATGTTGTAGTGCGCTGCACCAATGTTGCTGTAGGACACAGCCAAATTAGGATGATTGAGACGAAGTGATGATTTTTGAATTTCAAGAGTTATTTTATAATAAGAAAGTGCTTTAGGATAATCATCCAAGTTTCTATGCGCTAAACCAATGTTGTTGTAAGTCATAGCCAGATCTGGATGATTGGGAGGAAGTGATTGTTGTTTGATTTCACGAGCTTTTCTATGACAGATAAGTGCTTCAGGATAATTACCCAGATTTCTATGCTCTAAACCAATGTTGTTGTAAGTCATAGCCAAATCAGAGTGGTTGGTAGACGTGATCGGTGTTGATTTTTGTTTGCTCATTGTCTGTTGCGTGAATGACTTGAATTAGAGTTACTGTGTAAAATTTAGTAATGAAGCAATGATCAAGAATGAGTCGTTTTTTTATAGATGTAGACTCACTTTGAAAAGGTTTTATCTTTATTTGTTTACAAGGTTTCGATGAAAAACAACGCATGGAGAACAAAAAACAAGTGGGTAGATATTGTCATGATTGACTCGTTATCGAAGTAACTTGGAAAAAATAACCATTTTATTTACGTTGGCGAAGACAAAACGTGTTGAGTCATGTTTGTTATTGAAGAATCGAACAATCGAGAAAAAGCATTTATATTGATAAATATCAGAGTACTCATGTCGAGAAAATCAGGATTGGTACATGTGCAGTTCAGGCACATCCTTTCCCCTTCACCCACACAATGCGTTAATTGAATGTGAAAGTGTAACTAAAGTCCACTTGTGCCCTTTTTTTGTCCGGTGCAAAGTTTTTGTAATATCACCAAAAATCTGACATATATGTATATTCATAAATTATATTTTAAATATATTAAGCTATGTTTTTAGACGTTTAATCGCAATAAAAAGAATTATTATTAAAATTGATGTCAGTAGTATCGCATTCATTTGGTTGGATAATCGTTATAAGGATCAACGTCTAGACTATTGCTTGTAGTCATTAATTAATTATGTATACTGTATGAATGTTTAATTCGACTGCCTTTTGATGATTATTATAATATCATATTATGGTCATTACTATGATTTTAACAAATTTAGATTTTGTCGGCTGAATCTGGAATTTTGAACAATCAATTTATGTGTGAGGATCAGAATTTCAGGATTTTTATAACAAGTTCTATTTGATCGAATTCACATTTGCAACTACAGTATACATGTATTTTTTATTCTAATTTCAAAATTGAGTTACATATAAATAATACAGAATTTTTTCCATGTTTTTATATTATAGATAAAAATTACCCCAGTGGTGATGCTGGCAACGTCAATTCAGAACTTAAACTTGTGATATTTTGGTGATTCATTATATGCTACCTATTGTAAGAAATAGTTATTCAGAATACTAGATATTTTGTATGATTTTTCTGTGAACATTTAGTTATATTTACTTTTCTTTTATTGTAATTTCTTACATATTATGTAACTAATTCGAATGTCCTGTTATTGATTGCTGTTTTTTTACATCTTCATATTCTGTGTGTATTGTAACTATGATTCTTTATTATACTTCTTTATGTGTTAATTATAAGGTTTTTTTTCTTTATCTAGTATGTTTATATTTCATGAATGATGCGTGTACGAGAGTATATATCATGTTTTATAATTCTTTTATTTTTATTATTAGTTCTATCGTAACAGATGATACAAATAGTTAATTATTTTAAAATAAAAGATAATTGAAAAATCTATATGTAGTCAATCAGCTTTTAATAAAATTGCTGATTAATCGCCGATTTTTGAACCATTTTCATGACATGGGTTATTACTCAAGTTGATTACATGTTTTTTGATCGCGAATTAGGAGACCTAGAATTTATCAGACCTTTAAAATAGGCGATATCATCCTCATTGCTGTATTCTTTCGATTGAAAGCCTGTATGTGACCGTTATGTATGAAAAATGTAAATAATCTTGAGATTGTAATGACATTGAAACTTATTTAGCTTCTTTTTTAAATTGTTTGTTTTCTACATAATATGGAAATTTTCGATCTTGATATAATCATTAGCAACTTTTAACAATAAATCAAACAAATCACAATGGTCGACACAAAAACAATAAATAAAATAATTTTGATGAAATCAATAATACTATCGAGAAGTAAACGTCCTGACTAAGAAAGATAAATAATTTATTTGTATGAAATAAAACTATTAAAATATCGTAAATTAATAGAGATATATCCATTGGTTTGTTGGGGGTAGGATGGGCGATAGATAGAGAAAAGACACCCACACCTACACCCTATTTACTGAAGTTATCTTTGACAGTTATACCAAGGGATCTGACTTTGTTTTTCAAGTCTGATTGCTTTGTAAAAATGGTTTTCTACAGCGTACGTGTCCAGTGCAACTCAGTAAAAAGACAAATTGTAGCATCATATAGAAAGTTAGTCTTCATGTTCAGTAACAATCTATACGTTAAAATTGAAAAATTTATTCTCACAGAATAATACTTTAACAAAATATAAATCCAGTAAATAATCACATGATATCTTAATGAGGAGAAGATTCGATAGGTTTCAACAATATAATATCATTAAACTAAGCAATTAATCCTATTTCAGAAAAGCCTAATTTGT